GACGGACGGACAGACAGTCACCGCTTAATCGATTTCTCTTTTCATTCTGATCATTTATGTATACATTTGTCTATATCTATCTCGATTCGTTTTGCCTGTTACAAACAACCGTTATGTGAACAAAGTTATAATACCCTTGTGCACAAGTGCGCTCGGGTATAAAAACAGGTTTTTTTGTAATATATTTTGAAAAAATTATCTCAGATGCCTGAACAGTTTAAGCTTAAAAAGTTTGCGTAAAAATATTTACAAAAAATGTTCTGCGGAATCATAACAATCAGATTTTTGATGCTGTTTTTGCAGTTTTTCAAAGACTGGTTTAAGAAAAACTTGAATAACTCAGCCAAAACCTTACCAATGTAGACTTATGAGGTATTATTGGTAAGGTATTTTCTACCCCTTTTAATTTCTTTGCGAATAAGCTCATTCAAAGTATGAAAGAGGAAGGTAAGATAAACGAGTGTCATTCCATGTTGAGCTAAGATGCGTTGGTATTGCATAAAGAAAAAATTGGGACCTGAATGAGATTTTTGCAACGAAATAAAATGGGTGAGAAATACCTTTCCACATATATATCGGTAAAGTTTTGGAGCTGTTATTCAAGATTTTCTTACTCAAATCTTTGAAAAAAACTAAAAAAAACAGCATCAAAAATCTCATTATTACACCTTGCGACAAAAACCAAAAATTTTTAAAACACACGAATAAATCAATACATCCAAAAAACTGAATTTGAAACGTAGCTTTCAGAATTTGAATTGCAACTTTCTGAATTTAAAATGGAAAATCTAAATTCGAATTGCAACTTTTTGAATTTAAAAAAGAAATTCGAATTGCAACTTTCTGAATTTAAAAAAGAAATTCTAAATTCGAATTTCTGAATATGGATTACAACTTTCTGCACAAAAACTGAAAAAAGTGTAGACCACTCTAATGTAGGTACATGTCTTAATTAACATCTTATAGTTTTCTTATTACTTATGTTCAGTCGATAGCGTTTCATTGGCGCATTGTTACCATCCCACTGGCCTACAGAATTTCAATTTTATAAGTCACTCGCGAGCCCACGCGTTACGCGCTTCATTGAGCAATTAACGACGGTCAAGGATAACGAAAGAAAAAAAAACTGCTTGACAGTGAAATTTGTGGAAAAATGTCTAAGCTTCCTTTAGTTAATCGAAATTGTCTGCAATCAGTGTATTGAAATAATTAATGCTGCATAAATTACGATTCAAGGATGAGGCTAACAAAAGTAAAAGCGGCTATAAAAGCCTTAGCTGCTTCGAAGAAACATCATCCAATTCATCAGCAGCGAAACAGTTCGGACAAAGTTAAGAGCCGGTGAAACGCAAGACTGAAAGCAGAAAAACCCAAAAGCTACTGTGACATTACCAAAAAGATTTAAAATGTCATATCGTGGTCGCTCGTACACAAATTTCGGCTTGTTGACCAGACTGTGCTTCATGCTCGCACTGGCTTTGATTTTCCAGCTAAACGGAATACATGGCATGTAAGTAGATTTGAAAATCACATACCTTCACATTATAAGAAAGTGAAAATAACATTGTTTCTTTTTTCTCGCATCTTACAGCCCATTTTTTCCAAAACCTATTGACTGTGGTCCGCCCAATGTTTATCCTGAGCTCTGTGTTCATGGTAAATTGAATATTTTGTGTAGTAGGAAGTTTATTTATTTTTCATTCAACAAATGTTTCTAGGTAACTTCAGTGTGAATTTCAACCCTGAGTTCTGCCTTGCACGCACAATATGCTATAAGGGTCTGGGTGAGTCCTGCCAACAGTATGGAGAGGCAAGCGATTGCAAGCCAGGCTTATACTGCAGCTGCGACCGCTGCAGTCGAAAATTGACGCTCTGCGGCAGCAATGTACCCAAACTTTCGCCTTGGGCAGAGTTTGCGAAACGCATGCAACCAAATCTGCAGGAATACGGTTTTTAAGATGACACATTTGGTTGTCGGCTGTTGGGTGTTAAACAATTAATTAAACGAAAACATAAAATGCAGGCTCAGCTTGAAAGATATACATTTGTTTATGCACTATAATATGTAGTACTCGTATAACTAATTATTTAATATTTAACTAGAAAAGAATAGTGACATCTGGCAGCCACTATGCATATATATAATGACTATGACTTAAAATATTAAAACCATTCACGAAATGTCGTATAAATATTCGTATGAAATCATTTACATTACTCCTGAAATAAAGATACCGGCAATTGAAGAAAGTATTCTATCTGTAGACGTTTTTAAAGCAACACAACTTAAAAATAATGGTACCTAGGAATATTCCCAGTTCAGCTCCATCTAATTCGAAATTTTATTTTATTTGTGTGCAAGAACTCTCTCATTTAGTTTTTGTATGAGATCTGCATCAGGCTGAAATACTCATATTTGTACCAATGTCAGGATGGATGACACGGGTATTAGAGCCAAAGCCATGCATAATCTCCCATGCGCACTTTAGGGACTACAGGCCTACTAGCCTTACTTTGTTGTTTGTCCTGTAGAAATTCAGATGGAAGCAAACTTTGGCGAAAAGAAATAGCGGTGTAGCCTGCCCTATACATTGTAACACGGTTAGGAGTAGCCCTTGAGAATGGTGAGTTCGGGTTGGAGGTATTCCTTTATGTAGCTGAGGCACTTGGTACAAACAAACTATTTTTTGAAGGAATAAACGCTGCACTTTCAAACCGGATAAGCAACACGATGAATTGCAGCAGTGTCAAGGAGTAATGCGGTATGCATAAGACCACCAAAATGGTCAGCAGAGGTACCCCACAGGTGGCGCTTTTTCGCCACTACTCTGGTCTGGTGGGTGGGTGGTCAATAAGTTATTCAGGAAAATGGAAGGTAGTCTTGCTGAACGCTCAGCATACTTAGCCAGTGTCCCCGTCATTGTAAGAGAGAAGTAGGAATGGCAAAAATATATAAAATAATCGATTAATTAATCGCGTGATTAATCACAAGCCAAACAAATTAATTGCAATTATTGAGAAATAATCGATTAATCAAATTTTTGAAGGTACTTTTTTACGCCAATCTATATATGTACAACTAGTAATGAAATGCTCTAAGTATTTATGTTATCAGGCAGCAAGTCTAAGCTTCTTCGAATACTACTTGCATAGTCCAAACACTGAGACAGCTATGCTACCAGTGGCCTCAATTCCGCAATATTAGCGGCGCTAAATCTAGCATAAGTTGGCCCGTTGTGTCTCATTGATTCCAATAGTGGTAACCCATCGAACATTATTGAGGTGGTGAGTAAAAAAATAACTTTAGCAGAGACAGCTTTACATATAAATCAAGCCGCAGATCTTAACTCTTCTCCGCAAACCCATCTTCTCCAGCTCGTCTAGCAACCCGTTCAGTTCGGTGACTGCCTAACTACATTTACATATTTACCCTTATGAACAAAAGCTAAGCAATTGCGGTTTTTTGAAATGTCAGCCCTTTTGATTAAATTTATTTTGCATTGAAATTTTAAGAAACAAGCAATTTCTTAGTTATTATTCATAACCCATCAACAGCACCTATTTTAGTTAACACGGGGAGTTAGTAACAGCTCTCTGCTATTTGAACATTTAACCTTTAAACTACAGTTTAATGTTAGTAACATGCCAGTCAGCAGTGACATAACATTTCCGCATGCAATTCAGCTGGCTACTTTACAGTGACTGCAACGATCTTCACATGTGCACCTGTTAATTCAAAATGAATCAAACAAATAGCTAGCCAACTATCGAACCAGTCGACCAGTCTGCCAACCAAATTAACAACTATCCACCTAAACAAACACCTCAACAACCATTCCAACAACAAAGCCATGAACAAAAAAAAATTTACAAAAACCAGTTTTAAATACGCTAGCATTTTGTTGTTTGCCATTATTCCAATGCCATTGCATTCCGCCGGCTTTTCAGGTGTTCTCGACTACGGTCTGCACTTGTCTCTCGGTCTCNCCCCCCCCCCCCCGCCCCCCTTACTAGGGGGCCCCACGTTGCCCACAAATAAACACGTTTTTGTGTTGCCGTTGACGTTGTACGTTGTGATTGAAACGCAGCTCGGTTTACCTGCGCCTACTGGCAGTTGCTCGCTCGCGCTGATTGTCGCTCGTCGGCTTTTTTTTCTTATCTGTATTTTGTATGTTTGCGGTCCTCGGTTCTGGAACCGCTCGTTCTCTCATTCCTGCTCCAAATCAAGTGTGCGTTCTCGTTCATACATATACATACTTATTTGTTTGCATTGTTGCAATTGTTGTTGCAGCTGCTGACACGGGGTGCTTGCAATTCGAGCCTTTTCGGTAGGGCTATTGCTGTTGCTGTAGCTGCCGCTGTCGATTTTTGGGTCTCCATGTGCAACAGGTGAATTTAATTGAATGGAAACGTGTTAAATTTTTGGTTGATTTCAGTTTGGATGAAGAATTTAAGTTAAAGAAGCTTAAATTTAAGGCTCTATGAAATACATCGTAGTTGTGCATTGGTATGAAAATTTTATTGAAGCAGTTAGGGGATTCGAGTATACATAATGCTAATGTGAAGACATTTCAAATGGTATTTAAGTGAAAAGTAAAAAGGGTTTTTCGTTTTTCGGATGAACAAAAATCAAGATGTTTTTCTCAGAAATTGGAGAATGTGGGCAAATGGAAAAAATCAGAGAAAGTGTGCGTCAGTGTTCATAAAATCTTTAATTCCTACGCGAATAACTGTAACTCGTGTATTAGCTGCGACTAAGTGCTGTTCAAGAAGAAATCACATTTTTGCGGGCAATAATTTCACGCCTAGAGAAGACTCTGGACTGTTTTTAGAAATTGCAAATTTCATAGCAAAAAACCAAAATAATGTTCTCAAATTTTTCTTACGTTGTAATATTGTTAAAACCATATGAATGTGATTTTGAAAATCGACCAAAAATTTTGTAAGTGATCAAAAATCGCAAATATTGCCAAAAAAATATGTACTGAAATACATTCAAACTATAATCAAATATTACATAGTGCTTATCATAACAATATGACACCCACATATTGACATGTTTTGACTATTTACTATTATTTTAAAAACATAGTTCATTCTATTTAAATCCAACTCTAAAATTTTGTGCAAAAATTAAAAAAAATATCAACAAAGTTTCATCCAGGGCATATGAAACAGTTGAAAGTTGCATTAGAACGAAAATGTAAAGTGTCAAAAATCTAAAATTTTTTAAAAGTCATAGTAGATCATGTGAAATATAAACGAAATTTTGAAAAAAAGTGGTGCCACTTTCTTTCTTCCTAATTTGTTGCTTCCAACAATGCTTTGCATTGATCCATGCTTTGCAAGGTCCAGTAAGCGTACGTTCCAAAATATGGAGTTAAGTCGCTGCTTTTTATGAAAAAAACGTTTCCCAAAAAAAAACTTTTTGGCAATTTAGAATTTTTGAGAAAAAACTAAACACAATATTAAACACACTCGAGACCAAATAATTAAAAAAAAATTAAAACAACTGATCTGCTGATACTACCTGTTCGTTTTATCAAAATTCAAACTTTTTTTTAAGAAATTTTTAGAAAACGTTTAGGAATGTCCTGTTATAGCCTATTTAATTCTATTGAAATAAAGTACAATTTTCAAGTAGATAGATACCTAAAATCGGAGACCTCTTCTTTCATAGGGCCATCCTTTTTATCACGCTTTTATTAGCTCGGGATGTAACTATGTAATATTGATGCGCCTAAAAGATGCAGCGATTTCCATTTTCAAGTTACATGCCTGATGACAGTATGAATTTGAATTGCTTTAAACTTGCATTCTTAAAGTAACCTGGTGACAGTACGAATGGAAGTTTTAATAGCGAGGTTTTAGTTTTTTAAACAATAATTTTATTTGTACAAATTTGAAGTTTGCATTTATGAGTTTTTTTTGTTTTGTTTAGGAATGAACTAAATCTGTCTAAGGAAATAATTAAAATTTAATAACAAAAATTATATTGGTTTCGTATAGTTATTATAATCACTATAAATGTATATCGTCTTTTAAAGTACAAAACTGCATTTTGTCATTCTGCAAAACCGCGTAACTGACATTTGTTGCCAAAAATTGGATTTGCTCACGCAAGCTCTTGCCTCAATCCTTATCCATTCGTCCTGAAATATACTAGCCTGAAATGCGATTGTTTTATAAAAAAGAGAACCATTTTGAAATATGAGTGTTTTTAGTCTCTAGAAAATAATTTATGCAAGCACACATACGCGGTTTTGTACTTTAAACGACGATATATGAAAATAAAAACATTAAAAAAGTGATTATTTTTAAAAGCTAGCAAACCAGTGTTGTTTTGAACTATCGTTCTCTTAATGCAATGAACTGTTAGTGTTTGGCCGAACTTCTTCTCTTATTAGTCGAACCTAAATCCAACGAAATGCATTTCGAATGCTATAAAAACGACCAAAATATGTCCACAGTGCCGACTTAAAAATAATAATTTAAAGAAAGTGTAACCATTTGGAACGACGAAACGCACAATGTATTAATAAAGGGGAATCGTTTTAAGTGACAACTTAGCTAAAAATTAAAAGGGGATTTAAAAATACTTAACCAGTAGGTACCTACAAACAAAATTTCATGTGTCGTATGATTTTTGCATTCCGGATGAAATCCCACTTTGTGACCGATAAACCAAACAAACTTATGTTTAAGTTTATTAAAAAAATGCATTTTCTGTTCAAAAGTTTTAAATGGCTTACATGGAAAAACTAAAAATGATTATGTTTGAAAAAAGTAGATTACTTTTTTCTTTGTGTAGATTTTCACAATGGCGATTATGGATTTTTTCAACACGCGCATTTTCCTTTGTCAGATTTTGCTGCAGTCCATTTTTGAAACGATCTACTTGATAAGTTTGGTCCAATTCCTGGTCAAAAGTCTAGTCTCGTATGTATTGCAATCAGTGTCTTGTTTTTTGAGTTTTAATAAAGCGGCTGTTCCATATTATACGTAACAAGATTCAATGGACTTCGCCCAATTTTATACCAAAACTGGCATAAATGGACTTAAAAAAGTGTTAGCATTTTTATTTGTTAAGATTTATGAGCGCGGCAAGTTTCGATAAAATTGTCAAATGAGTCAACTAAATTCCTTTTTATAATCTAATTACAAAAATGAGGTATCATCGGATAGATATCCTAGATTATCGCTGAATCCATCATAACCCGATTTTCGTAAAAT